GGCAACACAGTGAGACTCTGTCTCAAAAAAAAAAAAGAAAAGAAAATATAACCTACAGTGATAAAAAGTAAATCAGTGGTTACCTGGGCCACTGTTGGGAGCTGATTAGCAAGGGGCACAAAGGAACCTCTCGGAGTGATGGAAAGGTTGAATATCTTGACTGTGGTGGTGGTGATTTGTTAAAACTCATTGAAGTATACCTTAAAATATCTGCCTTTTTTGTATATAAATTGTATCTCAATAAAGTTGGTTTTTAAAAAGTCAATGAGTAGGCTTAGATACCTTATATGAGCAAGGAACAAAAAAATAGAAGTTAACACTGACAATTGGAAGCAAAGAGACATTATAGATTAGAACATGGTGGTAGAAGATGAGGGAAGAAAAAACAGACAGGGGGAAGGAGAAAAGAAAGAAAATATGGAGGCAAGAAAAACTAGGTACTCCTGAGTCTTCTTTCTAAATCTCTTAAAAGTATCCACTTTTCACTACATCCACTAACCACCCTAGTAGGAAATCGCCAATATCTGTCTTCTGGATTAGTCCTCCTAACCAGACTCCTTACCCCAAATCTTGCTCTTCTCCAAATCCATTCTCCATATTGTGTCATTCTCAAATCAAGTCTGATCAACACACAGCCCTGCTTAGAACCCTTATACAGTTTTTACACATTATAAAAGGGCAGAGTACAAACTTCTTAATCAAGTGTCATCTACCTTATCTCCCTATCCTTCCCCGTCCTGGCTACACTCAGCTGTCCAACTACACACAACTCCTCCTGGTTTCAGCTCTCCAGTCTGCCTCTCCTGACTTTAGGGGCCTTTGCTCTTGCTATTCCTTCTGCTTCACAAACCCACACTTCTACTAGTTCCTAACAATCCTTTAATTTTGAGGTGATACTGCCTCCTCCAGGAAGTATTCAAAGTATTCCTTGATACCTCCAGACTGGGGTAAGTAGCTCCTTTAGGTGCCCCTAAAAAGCACCTTCTAAAATATTTCCCTATTATAGAAGTTATCACATGCTGTCTTATAAAGATCTGATTACTCAATCAGTATTCTTTGTTCAATAAAAGTTCTCTGAGGCAGATACTGTTTCTATGCTGTTCACTGTTTTTAGCATCTGACATTCAAAAAGTCTCAATAAATATTTTTTAATGTTACTGTAAAAGAAAAGAGGAGGAATGAAGCATCTCAGAGAGAGAACCAAAAGGAGGTTCAATCTCAGCAGTTATCATTGTCCTTTGAAAGTTCACTGGCTTGCTAGCATACTTTTCTGAAATCCCATAAGTTATCTACATTTATTTTCAAATTTAGAATTCATTTTATAACTAGGTATTAATTCCACTCCACTGGATTCTAGTACTTTTGTACATATAGAGCATAAGACTTTGACCTTAGAAAATTTTTCTGGAAGTGGGTAGTGTCAGTAAATTCAGTGATCATAGTTAAATGTTCTTCTATTCCCTACGCCTCTCTTGCCCACCACTTCTATCTATGACAGAATACACAGTGGGGCTGGGCTCTTTCTGAAATAAGAGATTTGATGTGTGAGAGAAATTCTCCTAGTGGCCTCAAGGAAATAAACTGCCATATTGTAAGAGGATGAGGTTATTTGGCAAAGACTCAAAGGTGGCCCCTAAGAACTGACAACAGGCACCATCTAACATTAGCAAGAACATAGGACCTCAGTCATACAACCACAAGGAAATGAATGCTGACAACAACTGTGAGCTTGAAAGAAGACCCTCAGAATCATGAGATTGTAGCCCTGGCTAAGTCTCTGATTTTAGCCTACTAAGATCCTCAGCAGAGAACCCACCTAGACCATGCCCAAACTCTTGACCTACAGAAACTGTAAGATAGTAAATCTGCATTGTTTTAAGCCACTATATTTCTAGTAATGTTAAACAGCAAATAAAATTAATACAATAACCAGCACCACACACCTTGGAAAACAGGTGGTCTAGCACATCAGGGAGTCTGCCCAAGGACATAGGGAGCCAAAGTGTACAGTCAGGGAAAATATTAAGAAGGAAATTAAAAACTTCCTTAAAACAAATGAAAATGGAAACATAATGTACCAAAACCTTTTAGGATACAGCAAAAGCAATACAAAGCAGGAATTTTATAGCAATAAACACCTACATCAAGAAAGCAGAAGGATTTCAAATGCGCAACCCAACTATGTACCGCCAACTGACTAGAAAAGCAAGAACAAAACAAACCCCAAACTAGTAGAAGGAAAGAAAGATCAGAGAAGATCTAAACAAAATAAAGACTAAAAAGAAA